TAATTTAAAAAGAAATAAAATCCCCACTTAGGAGCCAATGGAGCCCCGGGGAAGCACAGCTGTGTCTACAAACCAGCCTCAATTCCAGAGGCCAGTGTGGACACGTGCAAGCATGGCTTCAGTTCAAAGGCAAAAACAGGTGGAGGAATACTGGCCGGAGCCGCGAGTGCCCAGCAGCTCACCCCCTCGTTCTGCCCCTGTGCAACCCAGTCTCGGGGCAGGAAGGGAAACAGAAACTGAGTATCACAAAGCCACCTGATGGGTCAACGCTAGCGGGAAACAGGATGAGGAACTGAGAGACAGTGAAGACGGCATCGCCCAAGCCAGAGTCCACGTGGGTTTCCAGGTGTTTTCTTCTGTGCTGAAAGGGTCCCTGGCAGCTCTATCAGAGCAGAACTGGGCCTGGGTAAGCTGGCAGCCCCGGGGCTGGAGAGACAATGCTCTGCACAGCCTCCCCTCCGTGTTGGTCCCAAGAGGGTGAAGAGACAGGTGGTAGCACGGCCCAGGGTCCCTTATGTCCTTCCCTGACACCCTGTATGAGAATGGTCTAGCATCAGAGGCTTATACAGCTGTTTCTTCTGCTGCTGCCTGAAGGCCAGGGTTTTCCTGACCCATTTTACAGAAGGGAAAGCAGAGTCTTGGAGAAAAGAAATAGTATACCCCAGGGCCCAGACGAGGTGAGGAAGGCAGACCTGGAACTCACAGACAATGCTCCCATCTCTGAATTAGCAGCAGGCACCCCTGAGCCCTCGCGTGTGCCAGGCACTGGGATGGGTGCTTTGTAGTTAACTTTCCAGAGCAGTGCTCCTCTGAGCACTGGTCTCCAGCCCAGCAAGAGCAGTAACACCTGGGAGTTCGTTAGACATGCAGCAGGTGGTGTGGTGGTTAAGGCGCTGGACTCTGACACGTCTGACTACCGTTCAAGTCCCAGACTTCAAAATCATGCCAGGCACATGTGCATGTGTGCCCAAAATCCCGAGAGGAGAATGGAAGAGAAAGCATTGTGGCATAGCCATCCCCCTGGGAGGGGTGATTTCTCACTTTCCCTCTGTCTCTCTCCAGTAAGTACACACACCCTATGGCAAAACCTAAAAAAAAAAAAAAAAAAAAAAAGAAAAAAAAAAAAAAAAGGAAGAAGAAGAAAAAGAAAGAAATGCAGAAACTCAGACCCCTTCTCAGACATACATAATCAGAATGGACGGTATCAGGACCCAGGAATCTGTATTTTTATAAGCTCTCCAGTTGATTCCAATGTGTGCTGGAGTTTGAAAACTGGCCTAAATGACCTTATAAGTACATATAGTATATCCATTTTACAGATGAGATAACTAAGATTAAGCAATTTGTCAAAGGTTGCGGGGCAAGGATGGGCCTAAATCGGCATTCTTTTTTTTTTTTTAAGAATCATTTATTCCATTGTATTTATTTTTATTATTATTATTATTATTACTATTACTATTATTATTTAATTGGACCAGAGAGAGGGAAAGTGAGAAGGCCAACTGCCACGTCCAGGACCCAAACCTCAGTCAGCCATGTGGGAGTCCAGGGCCTTAACCATCACGCCACCTGCTGGAATTCTTAACCCCTTTGTTTTCCTTCTGCTTCCAACAAGCAAAAGCCCTGGTTTCCAGGAAAAGCAGGGTCGGTCAACGTAAACTGGATGCTGGCCCAGCTGCAGTGGCACGAGCGTTAGGGCACCTCTGTGCCAGGCTGGAGCTGCATGAAACCGGGCTCAGATCCCAGCCGACGCTGATGAGGCCGGGAGCCATGACACACACCTGCAATCCTGGCTAACTGAGAGGCTGCGGGAGAACGGCCGGCAGTGAGACCCTGTCAAGAAATCGATCTCTCTCTCTCGCTCGCTCGCTCAGCCAATCAGTGATGTGGTGATTAAGTTGGCTGGATGTCACATGGCCGACTGCGCAGTTCGAGTCCCAGACCTGGTAGCTTGAAAAACACCGTGCACATGTGCCCAAAATTCTGAGAGGAGAATGGCGGAGAAGGGATTGCGGCATGGCCATCCCCCCGGGGGTTCCTTTCTCCCCCTGTCCCTGAACCTCAGCCAGCACACATGCCCTATCACAAAACTAAATAAAGCCACGAGTGTCTTTAAAAAGAGAGAGAGAAAGCTCTCTCCTTCCTTTCTCCTCCGGTGTGCTTTCTCACTCTCATAAAAGAAAAAAAAAAACAGAAACAAACGTGGACTCGGACTCCCTCACACACACACACACACACACACACACACACACACACACGCCCCTGTGATGCGGACTTACAGGCATTTCCCTAAGGCCCTCTCTGTGCCAGCGCCTGAGGGACCTAGGAAGACAAGAGGGCACCCTCTCGGGTCTCCCCAAGCACACACGCGGCCTGGAACACAGGAAGCCACGTGAGACAGAGGGCCACTGCTGTTTATCAGGTGGCTCTCAAGGAGACAGAAGGCGCTGGTGTGTTCTGGTGTGCGGCGTTTACAACTTTCTGTAGTGTCAGTACTTCCTTCACAGCCGAACACCCACGCTGCAGCACGCATCCACACACGTCAACCTGTTCAATGATTTTCTTAGAATCAGTTCCCAGAGGGACTAGCAGGTGGCGTGGTAGTTAAGGAGCTAGACTCTCACGTGGCTGACTATGGTTCAAGGCCTGAATCTGGCAATTTGCTTTCTCCCTTTCCTTTCTCTCTGTCTCTCTGGTGAGCACATGTGCCCTATAGCAAATAATAATAATAATGGTGATAAATAAAAATAAGTAAAAAATTATTTTAAAAGAATCAGTTCCCAGAAGCAAAATCACAAGGACAAGGAATTGGCCCATTATTGGCTTTGAGGACACCCTGCCAGCTCCCAGGCAGGACACTGCTGAACGGGCACTGCTGTGCATGGAGCTGAGGCTGGAGCCTGGGCGACGTGCACCGTCCACCCATCACTGCATGAGGGACAGTGCCATGGGAGGGAGGGGCCCCTGGCCATGGCCAGCCCAGGGGACCCAGGGCACTCAACTCTCCCTGCACCTTCTCATCCCCCCCACCTGCCTGGCCTTGTTTGCTCCGTGTCTTGTCTATAGCAGAAATACACAATTCCCTTTAAGTTGCCCTTTTTAAATTATTTCCTGCATTAAGCATCTTTTTTGTAAATAAAAATGTTTGTCCATTTTATTTCATTTGATCATTTCTTATGCTTAAACTGTAAAACTTTATTTTTTTTATGTTTAATTACTGTACGTCTTTACAGCACACAATCCGGTTTAGTAAAGCACACGAGCGCTGCATGTCCGTCAGGGCAAAGATATTCATTTACGCATCATCTTCAGCAGCTAATTTCCATCCTGTGTCTGTCAAACTTGTTTTCCTGAGACCCTCCCTTGCATGCCCCCACCACATTTCCTTCTAAAAAAAAGCATAAGCAATCCATGTATTGAAACAATGTATGAAACTAGGAAACACATTAAAACTATGAAACTAAAAGTACAATTTTCTCTACTTACAAATACATTGTGAGAACATTCTAAAAACTTGTAACAACATAGACAACCCAAGAACACTACTGCTTTGTGTCCTGCATCTCTAACAGCCATACATAGTTACATAGAGAACCTCTTTTCACATCAAAATCATAGACCAATACCATCTTGTGGTTTTTGTTGCTGTTGTTTTGGGGTTTTGGGGAGGTTTTTTGTTTTGTTTTGTTTTTATTTTGTTTTCTACAGGACACACGTACTTGCTAGAGAGACAAAGAGAAAGAAAGTAAGAAATGACCCCCAAGGGATGATGGCCGCATCGCAATCCCTTCTCCTTCATTCTCCTCTCGGGATTTTGGGCACGCACTCATGCACTCGTGACCAGTGTGAGTTTCAAGCCGTCAGGTCAGGAACTCGAACGGCGGTCAACCATGTGGGAGTCCAGCACCTTAACCACTACACCATCTTCTGCCCCCGCCATGCCCTCATTATTAATGATGCTCCGAGACCCCTCATAGAGACTCCGGGACCAATTGGAGCAAGCCCCCACTGCTGGACACCTAGGCTACTTCCAGCTGTTTTCTACTGTAAGAACACCCACACTACACCACACACCCACACACATCCGCCTGTTCAATGATTTTCTTAGAATCAGTTCCCAGAAGCACGATCTTGAGGACAAAGAAAGTGCCCGTTTCGGGCTCTGAGGGCGTCCTGCCAACGACGCTTGGCCTTCTCCTCTTTAAAGCAGCACTGAGCACTCCCAGGTTACCTAGAACTCTGAGCTGGGTCCGATGAGAGAAACGAGGAATGGAATTTTGATTGTGACCTTTGTCCTAGACTCTGAACTCCTTGGCAACAGTGTGACACATCGCTGTGCCCCTCTGGGACTGGCAAATAGGAGCTGGGGAAATGAATGAATGAATGAATGAACAAATGAATGAAGAAACCACAATGTGATGGCTGATGCCAAGTGAATCCCGATCTCAGAGCAAGAGAGAAGCAAACAAAATGGTAAGGACCCAGAGTGCAGACCCGGCAGAGAGGGGGAGGGAGCTAGGAAGGTGAAAGGTAGGCCCCCTGACAGCTGAGACCACCTGCCACCACAGCCCACGGCTCAGAGGTCAGAGGTCGGGTCCTATCTTAGCCTCAGAGAGAGGTGCAAGGTGAGGGCCTGGCCTGGAGCTAGAAGGAGCTTTTACTTAAAGTGCAGTGTACATCCTGACTTCTTTTTACACTAACGTGCAAATCCCATTGTAGGAACAATACTTGTGCACAGAAATCTGACACATCTTTGGGTCTCTTTTTATTTTCTTAAATTTTGTTTTCAGAATTATTATTTTTATCATTGTTATTATTTTCTAGTTTGCTACAGGGCACATGTACTCACCAGAGAAAAATAGAAAGAGAGAGAACATGAGAAAGAAAACTGTCAAGTCCAGGACGCGAACTGCGGCCACCCACATGGGAGTCTAGCACCTCAACCACCATGTCACCTGCTGGCCCGAGTCTCTTATAAGGTGAACAAAAATTTTCCTGCTCAAGAATAAAGTTCAGAAAATCCAATCCAATCCAATTTGGCTAAACAAAGAAATGAAAATGAGGAGTCTGAGGAGCTCTACCAGACCCAGCCTAGCGCAACCTGCGATTCTGCCTGGGGAGAAATAAGAAGCAGGGCTTGAAGCCTCTCGTACCAGTCTGCGGGGTCAGCCTGACCAGGGCTGCCCTGCTCCCCTGCTCAAAAGCATTGCCCAGAATGCAAGCTCACTTCCTCCAAGAAGATCTCCCTGATTACCTGGCCCTGGACTAAAGTTAAGCCCTCAGCCGCGTGGAGGGTGGTCAAAGCCCAATCTACCACAGTTTGCTATGTGACCTGGGCAAATCAGGTAACCTCTCTGTACACAGCAAGCCAGCAAGGTACCTCTGAGGATCGAATGAGACGGCGTTCAGAAAGTGCATGGTTTAGATGCCTGGCTACCGGGAGCCACAATTCCACAGCATAACGCGTTGTCCCCGACAGCGTGCTCTCAGCCCCCTCAGGGAGAGCCCTCCATCCCCCTCTCTCCCACCTTCCAGTGCCCCCAGGGACTGCACACATCAGAGCACACACAGAGCTACGCTCTCCACACACACTGTCACGTTTACGCTCAATCCTCCCAGTGGCCCTGCAAAGGTAGGTCCCCATTTCACACACACGGAAACCAGAGAACCTGAATGAATTTCTTTCTTTCTTTCTTTTTTTTTTTTTTTTTTGGAGAGGTTTTTGC